TTAATTCATTAAAAGGTAAGTATAAAAAACAAAATAAAAAGGTATTAGCCAGTCTCGGGCAATAGTCGCCATTAAGGTAATATTATAAACAATAAATTTGGAAAATTTACGGTTTTAATGATAAGTAATTTCGTCGGTTATATTTTATTACGTGGGATGTAATTTGAGTATACGGTCCTTTGTAACACCTATCCGTACTTCAAAAAGGTTGTTATAATGAAATGATGGGCACTACAACACTAAATGCATTATACCCGGCGTCACAATTTGAATTTATGGTCGATGTTACATTGGGAGACAATAAAAAAGGAATTCAAGTGCCATATTGGCCGTTCGATAAATTATGATTTGATGCGTAAAAATCCATGTTCAAATTAGCCATTAAAAAAATTATTTTTCGGGCCCGTTTTACATTCGCAACAGCTGTATTAGCACTGAAAATGTTAAGTACCGATTTTATTAATTAATTAACCGATGTATATATACTGTGTGTACTTTGGGGTTATATTCAAACAAAACAACTTAAAACATGAATTTATAGTGATCGGATCAGTATTTGTTGTGGTTAACTAGGGCTACAGTGACAGAGTCACCAAAAAAACTCCCTTTAGAAGGCCTATCATAATTTGCTGTCAAGGTGACAATAAATCATTTTTCATTTTGAACGTTTCGTGATATTCATAATCATTATTAAGTTAATTTCACACATATTATTCGAAAAATTGTTTGTCACCTTGAAAGATTAATTTTATAAATTTTGAAATTACAACAAAACCTTTTAAGAATTCATTAAAAGGTTCACCATGAGACACTCTACACTTTTTTATTTTACAGATTACAGTTAACGATTCCAAATTGATATTGTTAATTTTAATTATATGCAGTAGAAAGAAATTGATATTTAGATTAATAATTAAAAAATTGTTATTATCCAACCATAACGTTAAGCATTAAAACATTCTGACCCTGGATCAAGGGGATATTTCGAAAACGGTGTAATTTTTTTTTGTAAAATTTTGGTAAACTAAAAAAGAGGAGGGGGGGAATATTTAAACAAATTTTTGAAGCCTACCCCCTTACCCTAATTTAAGGGGCGGGGGTCAGGGCCGGCTCCAGGGTACGTGCAGCCGTGCCCCTGCACGAGGCGGCAAAATTCGAAGGGCGGCAAAAATCGAAAGGTGGCAAAAAGTTATTTAATACAATACAATATAGGTTCTAAATTAGATATTTCCAATTTAATTTTAATTTAAACCGATTTTTCTTATTTTTACCACTGGTCAGTTTTATAATGTTAGATAAAATAATTATTATTAGAATATAATACTGTTTTTTTAGAATGCGATGATATTTTATTTATTTGTTATTAAATAATAATTTTTTAAACTTTTTTGTTAATATTATCTTCCCCTTAATGCTACAACTGGATAACTCGAAATTTTACCAATCAAGTTCTACTAAATACTTACATAGGTACCAATTTTAGAATATCTTATTTACAAATGTGTTTTTTTAGATATCCAATTGTAGCATCAAGGGGACGATATTATTTAAGTAGTTTTTTTTTTAGAAATTGTACCTAATTAATGGGCACTAAAAAGTAGGTAACTAAGAGGGGCGGCAAAAATATTTTTGCACAGGGAACCAACATGTCTGGAGCCAGGCCTGGCGGGGGTAACTTTGGATTTTATATAGGGATGATGTATATATTTTTTTAATTCGAATCTAAGATAAAAACTAGGTAAGTGTGCAAAAAAAAAATTGATTTTTGCTTTCGATTACTGAATTATGATTTATTAAATTATAAGATATTAAAAATTATTAACAATTAAATTTCAACTAATTTCTTAGTATTTTATGATTTAATAAATCATAATTTTGTAAGCGAAAGCGCTGAACATTTTTTTTTTGCACACATACCTAGTTTTTTACAAAGATTCGATTTTTCTTTTAAGTACATCATCCTTAAAAATTAAAAATCGAATGTTACCCATCGCCCGTTAAAATAGGGAAATGGGGGTAGGTGTCATTTGAAATGTCCCCCCACCTCTCTATTACTTTTCCAAAATTTCACCAAAAATTTTTAAATCGTTTTCGAAATATCCTTTTGTAGGGTAACACGTTAAAAACTCACCCGGTATAATGGGTATGCCTTAAATAAACATTGTAGTGACCTTTTAATTTCGCCGGCAGTAAACTAGATATAACTTAAGTTGGGATCGGACTCTACCGTGAAGTGCTAATAAAACATTTTCTTCACTTTCACTGTGAGAAACTGTTTAATCCATTTTCAGGGGATACATTTTGATTTATTATCTATGTTTATAACAGGTAACACAGATTCCCCTATTGTTTTATAGATGGCGCTTTGTACAAATACTTAATTTAAATCATTTTTAGATAATAATAAGTATTTATCGTGGAAAATAGTATATTATTTATTTATTTATTTATTCTCAAACAAACACAATATAAAATTGTTGTTACATGTAAGAGTGCCTATACCCTAAGTTATATCCTATATAAACTAAATCTAAAACTAAAACTACAAAAAATCACAATTAAAAAAAGTTTGGATAAACGCCATTTAATGAGTGTATAGAAAAGTTTATAAACGAGGTGCATACTATACTTTTTCTAAGAAAAATACTTATTATTATCTTAAAATGATTTAAATCAAAAATTTGTATAGAGCGCCATCTATGAAACAATAGGGGAATCTCTGTGTCACCGTCAAATGTCATTTTTTTTATTTTATAAAGGTTATAAATCGAAATGTATTTCTTGAAAATTGACAGTTTTTCAAAGTGAAAGTAAAAAAAATGTTTTATGAGCACTTTACAGGTCAGTACAATGTTCATATAAACTTTTCAAATATTGGCGTTGAGAAACTATTTAATACTTTTGTATTTTTGTATTGAGATAATAAAATAATTTTCACATTTAGTATTATTTTACAAGAAAGGCACTTTATTTTAACGATTGTATGACATTTGACAACTGTCAACTAACTTAAAACTAACTTCAGCCCGTGACTAAAAACCTGTTGCTAACTTCAGCCCGTGACTAAAACGCCGTAAAGCCACAACTTGTCAATGTGTATTTAAAAGGTCACTTAGTGTCATGGAAACATGTACGATAAAGGGCGTTTTAAAGGTGGGAGTAGAAAAAGTATATTATGCAATTCGTTTATAAACTTTTCAAGCCACTCATTAATTTAACCACTATTATAAGGATTTATAAGTCAGGTTTAGTTAAATGTAAATATAAAAAATGCACAGGGATATCCATTATAGATTGGTGCCATGAATGTTTTAATGTTTAAGGCGAGGGGGAAACCACCTTCCGCAATACGTGTACATTTGGTCCGAAATCACTTGCAATCGTCGCTGCAATCCCGCAATCACTTCGCAATCGCCGAAATCCCTACCTGCAATCCCGCAATAACCGAAATCTCTATCTGCAATCCCGCAATCGCGGAAATCCTATACTTGCAATCCCGCAATCGGGTTGGCTAAAGTAATCGCAAATGTTTTTAAATATAAGATTTGACAAAAATATGTTATTGATTAATGAATTAATTGAAGACACTAGTGAATAAAGGGTCCTGAATTTTGACACTTTGTTTTTTGGTTTGGGTTTCCAATTATTGACAAATGTGTTTAATTTTTTTTACAAATTATTGACATTAATAAAATCAATGAAAACAATTAATAATGTGGTTTATTAACTGGTTAAACAATCTTATTTGCACAGACACTAATACAGTTAAGAGCCAATGGTTTTGTGGATTGTGGAGTACTCTAAGGTGGGCAATATGTATGTGGTTTTTGAGGTGACTCATTAGAAATTTGGTATACATTTTTCTAAATACAAAATGGCTGATCTAATATGGCGGTCATTTGTCGTTCAGCTTTAACGATTTGGATAAAATTTTGTAAAAAGATATTTTTGGGGTAGCTGATTATGAATTTTATATCAATTTGCAATTGCGGATTCAAAATGGCAGATATCTATGCGCAGTAGGTACCAGATGGTTGGATCTATGCGCATTGGTTACTGGATGATCGTACCTATGCGCAGTAGTTTTCAGATGGTTGCATCTACGCGCAGTAGTAACGTGCACTTTCGGCCTAAAAAGTTTTACTTTACCCAAGTAATCTTGGCAAACACAATTTTTTTTATTTCATGTTCAAATTTCTACAGAAAAAAGTTTCGTACCTATTTTATCCCAAATATTTTTTGTGTTTTAATTTTATAGCTACTTTTACCACGAGATAAACGAGACGAGACGGGGCACTCTCGAGAGAAGAGTATTCTCGTCGAGACGAGGACCCATTTTCTCTCCCTGTACGAGACGAGAAAAAAGAAGGACTTCTCTTCTTTTCTCGATTCTTTATCGCAATCAAGCTAGCAATCATATCTACAATTCAACCCAATTCAACGAAAATCATCTTTCAATCCTCACAATTCCATTGCAGTCCTGCAATTACTAATTTTAGGTCGTAATCCTCCGAAATTGCAACAATTTAAAAAGAATTCTCCGAAATCACCGAAATCATGGGATTTCGGTCGCAATCCTCCGAAATCACCGCAATCATTCCGAAATCATGGGATTTCCGCAATACGTGTACATATTTTTTGAAGGTGGTTTCCCCCTCGGTTTAAGGGTAACGTCTTTGCGTCTTATTTTGATACTTGACGTTTTGCTTTGAAATAATAAAAAACAGAGACTCTTCCTTTATCTCTTGTGCGGTACGCGGTATTGAGAAATTGCGAATCTGTATTTAGATTAATATTTAAAAATATGTATATGTTACCCAACCATTACGGTCTTTGCGTTTTATTTGAATAATTTCATTTTTGATTAAGTTTTCCTTTGAAATAAGATATCAGATATGGCTTATTTAAAAGAGGTAGAATAAAAAAGTGTATTCCAATTTCGTTTTGGAGGAGTGAGGAGATATGTTGGGGGGTTGCTATATTATGTGGTAATAACTTACCGTTGGAACACACGGATGGCTGGGCGAGATGAAGTCGAGTCCCCGCTGGCCGACCCCGTTGAAGCATGTCCTTATGTTTTGCATAAATTTCCGTCGAATCGATTTGAGGGAGTACACGCACAATGCAGACATGTCAGAGGGTTTGTTCGCAATCACAGGGTCACTTTCACTGAACACCGCGAAAAGGACGTCGTCCTGGGCCGTGATTCCCAAATCGCTGGCCAGATCTGAGCCGGCTTTGCCAACGTACGCGGCCTGGACCAGGTTGTACTTTCTCTCTTCGGCAGATTTGCATTCCATGGGGATCTCGGTGTAGGAGTAGTAGTTCTCGTCGTCGTGGCAAACGCGCACCAGCTTGCTGATGTAGTGGCCGCTGGAGGTGTGCTTCATTTGCGTGGTGAGGAAGTAGCTGAAGCCTTCCGAGGAGAAACCGTAGACGTAAGTGATGGGGTAACGTTCGCGGGCCAAGGAGTTGACGAACATCCTGGTGCCGGTGGTGACGGCCGTTTGAGCGATGGCGAACATGCGGTCCTTCTCCAAGGAGCGGCTGCTCACCGCCGGCACCTCGGAGCGGTAAGGCGAGCCCAGGGTGAAAGTGACGCCGACGTACATGACTTGCGAGACGGGCGGCGTCGGCGGTCCCGGGGCGATGAAAGCCACCGTCGAAGCGGTGGCGTTGTTGGCGACCACCGCCTCACGCACCTCCAAAGTTCCGTCCGATATGTTGTGCAGATTCCTCACCGAGCAGATGCCCTGCGACAGGCTGCCGCAGGATATCAACCTGGTGGTGGTGTAATCGATCACCAGCGCTTTGTTCACCGAGTCGGTCAGCTTTTTGTTCACCGAGCTGGTGCATTCCAGCACCGAGCAGTCGTCGCTGTCCATTTTCGGTCCGGTCACTTCCGATATCACCAGGTCGAGATCGGGCGAGAGCTGATAGAGGCGATTCACGGCGCCAATGTACACTCTGCCGGTGTTCTTGTCGACCACAAGGTGGTTGAAAGCCTGCACTTTGCCATCGCTAAAAGTCCTAATTATGTCACTGCTCGACGACGATACCGATGATGCGGATGCGGATGCCGATACTAAGGCCACGTGGGCAGCGCACATGCACAACACAATTCCCAAAACCGACCGCTTCATGGCGGAGGCACCTCTCACACCAAATTCACGTCATTGGTGGGATCTGAAACAAAACAATTAATACATTATCACAATCATATTTTCAATATTTATTTAAAAGACTTGCCAATAGGATTTTAAAGTGTCCAGGCATTTTTTTTTTAAATACTAGGTGTGTTCAGAAAATAACGGGAGGGTCCGGTTGTCATAAATGTTATGTTGGTATACATGCCCCCGAAGTATGATAAAAACTTTAGCTGTTTTCATTGTTTACTTTATCTGTTAAAAGAAATGGATAAAAGAATTTGTATCCAATTTTGCTTAAAAAATGAAATAAATTCTGTGAAATATTAACAAAGGCCTATAGTGAGTCTGCTATAAGTAAAACAAGAGTTTGCAAGTGGTATTAGAGTTTCCAAGATGGCCGTGAAGACGTTGAAGATGACGAACGCCCCGAACTCACAAGCACATTAACAACCGATAAAAACATGAAAAAAGTGGAAGAAATGGTTATAAACCATCATATAAGTCGCTGATGATGTTGGTATATCGATTGGCTCATCCCATGAAATTTTTTCGAATGTTTTGGGTATGAAACGCGTGGCAGCAAAATTTGTACTAAAATTGTTAAATTTTTGGCCAAAAACAATACTGTAATGATGCCCCAGCCTCCATATTCGACAGACATGCCTCTGTCTGACTTTTTTCTATTCCCAAAAATAAAGAATACCTTAAAGGGCCGTCGTTTTGCAAGCATAAATGACATTAAAAGCGCATCGCTGAAAGAACTAAAGGCTATCCCAAAGATCGAGTTTTAGAAGTGTTTCGAGTATTGGAAGAAGAGCTGGCACATGTGCATAATATCCAATAGGGACTATTTTGAAGGCGACAACATTAATGTAGAAGAATAAATAAATATTTGTTTCAAAAAACGAAAATTCCCGATATTTTTGAGCACACCTCGTATACACACTAGACTGGGCCAAAAAAATCGACTATTTTTTTTATAAAGTATATCGAAAATATTGTTTGGGGTAACAAAAAAAATTATGGTGAAAGTTTGAGTCCATAATTTTAATATTAAGATCATCGCAATTTTAGATTCTTTTTCCTGAGCGAGTTTTTGTCTCAGAACTCCATTGAGTTTAACAAAATTGACTTAAGAATATTTTTTGAAGAAACTTGAATGCTCTACAAAAAAGGTTTGATTGGAATGTCTTGTCAGATGAACCGTTTTCTTACAATCATGCCTTAAAAATTGGTATAGTTTTACAATTTGATCTTTTAACTTTGGAATTTTGTAATTCATGTAAAAATCAGTACCCAGAAAAAAACCGATATATATTCTTAAGGGAAATCAAATGCTCTACAAAAAAAGTCTTTTAACATTTTTGGCTAAATTCACTCCGTAATAAGTTATTCAAGGTTCAATTTGAAGTCAAAACAAAATTCTTGTTTTTTCGGCTCTAGATTTTTTTTGGGTCAGTTAAAAACTTGGATTCTTTTATCGATGATAATCTTTAAGTTATTGATAAAATTTAAAAAAAATAACATATTAGAATTTTGTCGCTTTAGGAAGCTATTTTCTATGGAAAATATTATTTTCACTGTTACCTATTTAATCGTTTAAATACACATTTATAAAGAAAAAAATTAAATTATCATCCATAAAAAACTAAATCTACAGAGGAAAAATAAGAATTTCGTTTTGACTTCAACATTAACCTTGAATAACTTTTGATTGAGTGAATTTTGCCAAAAATGTTAAGAGGCTTTTTTTGTAAAGCATTTGATTTCCCATAAAAATATTTATCGGTTTTTTATGGGTACTGATTTTTACATGAATTATAAAATTCAAAAGTTAAAAGATCAAAATGTAAAACTATACCAATTTTTAAGGCATGATTTTAAGGAAACTGTTGATCTGACGGAAAATTTCATTTAACCTTTTTTGTAGAGCATTTAATTTTCTTAAAAATATATTTCTGAGTCAATTTTGTTAAACTAAATGGTTTGGGAGTTCTGAGACAAAAACTTGCTGAGGAAAAAAAATTAAAATTGCGATGATAGACCTCTTAATATTAATATTATGGACTTTCACAATATTTTTTTTTGTCACCCCAAACAATATTTTCGATAATAGTTGATTTTTTGGCCCAGTCTAATACACACTTGAAATAAAAGTAACAATTAAAAATATACTCTATTAAAAAAAACTAAACTTTAAGTTAAATTGATTTAAGAAAATAAACGTAAACGTGAAATATATGTCGGTTGTTTTTTTTTTTGTAAAAAGGAGTCCATTTAAAATATCCAACTACAAAATAATGAATGAAATAATAAAGTTAAATTACAAAACTATGATTTTATATGTTTTTTGAGGCCCGGTAGAATATTCTTACTAAATTAAAATAAAAAGAATAATTTATATTATGATTATAATCAGCGTAGGAAATTAACTTTTATTTATAAATTATTTTAATGAAAATTAAAACAATTAAAGAATTTTCTTATACTTTAATTATTATTTTTATTTAAAAAAAAACTAAAATGGGAAACCAATTTATAATATTAATAATAATAATAATAATCTTTATTTCCAATCAAATTAAAATTACATTCATACATGCGTATAAAATAATAACATGAAACGAAATAGAGTCATAATAAGATTATATGTATATATAAAAACAAAAATTCTATAATAAAAACTCTCTTAAAGAATATGGTTCCAAAGTTATTAACATCTCTTTGATTTTGGATTTATATGTCCTAAGACTTACAATAGTTTTTATATCGTTTGGTAACTTGTTGTACAGTTTGAGACACATATAACAGGGGCTCTTTTCTGTTAAGGTTAGCCTATGATTTGGGTAGTTTACATCTCTAGTCCGGGTATTGTATTGATGGTGAGAAAATAAAAAATAAATGAAAGCAAATTTTAATTCGACAGCAATTAAATTAATTAATTTAATTTATTGATATTGATAAATAAAAATTTCAATAAGATTTTTTTTAATTTCAAATAATAATTTTACCAATTTTCATGTATTGTTAATTTTTAAACTCTCTGTATAATAAAGTGTTTTTTTTTTTTGATAAATTAGTTAAAAACTGATTAGCGTATACTATGGTAAATAACTATTAGTAACTATTAGTAAACCTAAATAAATATTATTTTTACATGACTAAAAAACTTTTATGAAGAAAAATATTGCACTACTTCGTAAATTTCAATTTTTAGTACATTTATCCTATTTTAAGCCCCATAATATGAATTATATCTACTGGACAATTAAATACTTGTAAAACATTAAACTGATTTCTACTTTAAAAGCTTGAACAAAATGAATATAAACATAATTTTTTAAAATAATGATTATTTCACAGCGGTGCCAAGAAGGCACTTATTTAGCAAGCGAGAGCGAAAAGTGCAGTGTAGAAAGGGGTGTAGCACGTGCCACAAGCGTGACAGAATGGTAAATCCTGATTTATAGATTGCCTTCCTTCCTTTCTCCTTTCACGTAAAAGATGAACAATATGAATCTATAAATGGCACTACGATTTTCGTATTGTTCATCTTTTACGGGAGGAAGGAAGGCAATTTATAAATCAGGCTTTACAACAAACAGTGAATCATTTTTACATATTTCATCAATATCGTCGACACAATCACCGTTATTATTTTAGTCAGTGAAGTTTCCTTTCAAGCGGCAAATTCCAGGAAAATAAAGTGTCATTTACAAATAAATTAATAATTATCGAGAAGAAATTGAATTTTCAATAATTAATAATGTATAAGTGACCTGTTTAACATCTATTCTACTAGTAGTAGTTGAATAATTAATGCAACACCTGTTTTTACCATTTTAAGACAAGTTCTAATGTACGATTTTCTCACAGTTCAATCAGATATAAGGTGAATTTCTATTGATAATTGCTTCTTAAATTATTCCTTTCATTTATAAAATAGCATGTAATGTCAACTGGTTCTTTATTAGGTTTACTTAGTCGTAATTCTTCGGACGCGATTATAATTTTCGTCGCTGAAAAATTTATTAAAAATTAAAACCAGCAGACTGTATCTGAGTAACTGTGTTTGTAGTATGTAAAGACATATGCTTTATTTGCATGTTTATCAAAACTAGTGAGAACGTTAAAATTTGCAAATTTACATTTTTAATTTACCATTGGGAATTTGCGCCACGAATATTCCCCGCACAATGCCACTACTTAGTTAGTACTGTTTATTATCTATTTTTTTTTACCCATACTTGGGTCGATATAAAGGTTCACAGGTAATGCACATAAAAGTCACAGAAAGCCAGTAATTGACATATTTACAGAAGCTGCAAAATATCCCCTCTCTCTTTCAAGGTGTTTGGATGCATTCGGCGCAGTATAAGAGGTGTGTTCAAAAAATAACGGGAATTGTTAAATTTTGCGGGTTCGGAGGGTCCGGTTGTCATAAAATTTTCTTTATTATATTGGTATACATGCCCCCGAAGTATGATACAAACTTTAGCTGTTTTCATTGTTTACTTTGTCTGTGGCAGCCGCTAAGGTTAGACGTGTTTTATGAGCTCGGCGATTTTTCGTTCGTTAAAAGAAATGGATCAAAGAATTTGTATCCAATTTTGCTTAAAAAATGAAATAAATTCTGTGAAATGTGAACAAAGGCCTATAGTGAGTCTGCTATAAGAAAAAGAAGAGTTTACAAGTGGTAAAAGAGTTTCCAAGATGGCCGTGAAGACGTTGAAGATGACGAACGCCCCGAACGCCCAAGCACATTAACAACCGATAAAAATATGGAAAAAGTGAATGAAATGGTTATAAACCATCAGAGAAGTCGCTGATGATGTTGGTATATCGATCGGCTCATCCCATGAAATTTTTTCGAATGTTTTGGGTATGAAACGCGTGGCAGCAAAATTTGTACTAAAATTGTTAAATTTTGGCCAAAAACAATACTGTAATGATGCCCCAGCCTCCATATTCGACAGACATGCCTCTGTCTGACTTTTTTCTATTCCCAAAAATAAAGAATACCTTAAAGGGCCGTCG